TGTAATGAAAAAGCTTTGAAATGACCCATCTCCAAAGGGATGGGCAGATTTTTTCAAAACACCTCCATGATGTTAGGAGACTTTTGTCCCTCTGCTGTGGTCAGAGATGAGAAAGTTGGTGCAGAGAGAGCTGTCAGCTGCCCTTTGGGAAAGGAAAGCCGAGCTGCAGCCTTTCAATGAGCAGAGAAGAAAAAGAAACAGCTATTGGCGTCCGAAGAAGGTGATGCTGATTCACCTCCCCCCGGCTTCATAGCACCTTGATCTCAAGGGTTGTCCGTGTGCTGGGCACAGCTGGGATGGATCTGGGAGTCCCACTCGCAGCACAAGTTACAGCTGGAGCCAATATCTCAAACTGCTGGTGGCATTCAGCTCAATCTTCCTCCCCTGCTCCCACTCAAAGTATGCCTTGGATGTAGCACTTCAGACCCCAATACTATTTTTTTTTTTTTTTTTCCCCTCTTTTTTTTTTTAATGCCTTTACAGGCGGTGAGACGAATGGGCGCTGGAGCTGCTGGTCACAGTGGGGTCCCTGCCAGTCGGGCACGGCGCGGCGCAGCCGGCAGTGCAACCACCCGGCCCCAGAGCGTGGCGGGGAGCCCTGTGTGGGGAGGGACGTGCAGAGCAAAGCCTGCTGAAAGCCCACGGCGAGGCATCGCTCCCCACAGGTATGCGGTCAAGAGCGGTTTGGAGTCTGTACAGGGCTATAAATACTCCGGGCATAATCCTGCAACGGAATTATGTTGGGGAGAAATAATTGTGAATTATTGCGCTTCCATACATATGGAGACATGCTGGATTTGTTGTATAAAACCTGAGGGCTGCCCAGACCAATTGCTCCGGGTGACAGAACGCATGCCTGGCTGCCCCCTCGCCCCATGAGATGTGATGGGACCCCCACCAGTTCACAGCGGCACGGCTGCAATACAGGACATGGTGGAGAATCCACACGGGTGGCTTTGCTGCTGGGTGACCGTGGGGCTACAACGCGTCATGAAATAAATTCACTGAAAGTGTTGACATAAGTAAGCTTGACTCACAGAAATTTCTATATTTGCCTTTGGAGAACACATTAAAAGCTCACGATCCTTGCATTTTTGTGCAGTTGGTATTGACATATGTACCACAAAACTTTTAGAAGTTGGCACTGTCAGATTTTTAAGTCCAGCATATTGGCCAGGGCTGCATTTGCAGCAAAGCCATATGCTGCTCTGCATGGGAGGAGGATTAAGCCTAAAGATGCTGAAGCGTCATTGCAAAATGTGAACCTGAACTGATGAAGAATCTTAAATAAATTAAAAAAAAAAAAATAAATAGGCTCAAACACAACCATTTGGCAGAATAGCAAAGGCTATTCCACTTTAAGATCAGTGATGAATTGACTATTAGCACGCAGGCGTTTTATCTCCCAGGCACCCAGAGCCGGAGAAGATGCTAACGGGCTGCTTGATTTAAGGAGCTTTTCTGAATGTAAGACGTAAATCTCAGCACAAGAATACACACAGTATTGAACTGCATCCAGAGACCACGGCAAGAGCCCACAGCTCCCTCTTCTTAATGAACTGCTGCAAAAACCTGGGGTGGATGGAAGGCAAATGGCACTTCATTTTACTGTGCTTTTCATTACAAGGAAAGAAGGGGGAAAAAAGCCCTGGGAAGGAATCAGGCATTATGAAAAGCAACAACAGCAACAAAACCTCAAAGCACAAAGGAGCACTTCGATATACATTTGAATGGAAAGAGAGAGTAGAAAGGAATCATGGTTTAGTGAAAGAAATTGCTCAGCTATAGCTCTGGTTCTTGGAAATGCTTGTTTTTCAACAGCATGTCAGCGGTGATTTAGAGTCTGACACTTAGCTGATGTAAATCAGTGTTGCTCCTTCGCTGCAGCTGATTTATGCTACCTGAAGATCTGGCCCCGTATTTTCTTTTGTGTGCATGTTTGCCAAAGGACAATTTTTTCACCATTTCTCTTTTGCTTGAAAATGAAACCATAGGCTGCTTTTCTGTAAGAAAACAACAAACCATGTTATCTCAAACACTGAGATGTAATTGTTCTGTAAAAAATCCTTATGAGGTGAGGTAAAGCTGTGGCCTTTTTGCCAATTTTGCTTTTCCAGGTAAAGGTGACATTCACCCAGAGATTAATTTGCTCCCAAGGGCTTGAATCTGATGTCTTCTATGGTGGGAAAATGCAGCTGCATGAAGCACCCATATATTGGTATGATTTAGACATCCCAAAGGAATGTGAAATGTAGGATCAAAACAAGTTTTCCCATCAATGGCTTTATCACTTCTGTTTGGTGTTGGGCTGGCAGGTTATGTAGCAACAGGAGACTGATCTTACACCAAGGCCTAGTTTGGCTCACAGGCGATTCTTACCTCTACACTGACTGCTCAGGACTCAGGAAAATGCCAGCAGTAAATGAGTATAAAGTCACCTTACTTAGAAAGCCAAGTATGCTTCCTTTGTGACCAGAGGGAAGAAATTAATGAACAGAAAGACCTGATGCCTCGGAGGCAGAGGAGGGATGAGGCCTGCAGGAAAGCAACCTGTATCCTCAGCTTTTAGAGCCATTTCTAGGAGGATAGATCACAGGCTGGAGAACCACAAAAAAAAAAAAAAAAAAAAAAAAAAAAAAAAATCCAAGTAATTAAAGAAACCACACGTGAAGTACCACCATGAAGCACACATAAATAAGAAAAAAAGATCTGGGGTTTGCCTGGAGTTGTTCATTCTCCACTTTGAACATGGCGGTGCTGGAGCACAGAGATGAAAGCGAGGATATGTGCGGGGCAGAGCTCATCATTCACCTTGCAACCCGGGCAATGAAATATAAACCCAAGGGTTTCCTTCAAATGCCAAAGGCAGCTCAGCAGCAGCCCCTCTCCTCCTGCTCCAGTCTCTGCTGCAGCTGGGGCTCAGGCATCCGTACAGCTGAAACTTGGAAGCAGCCAAGCTGAAGCCAAAAGAAAGGAAGAAGCTGCCTGTAAGGTCTGGGGGAAAAAAAAAAAATAAAATTATTAGCAATTACACATTTACAATGCCAGTCAAAGAAGCTAATATATCTCATACTGAAGTGGTCAGCATGAGAGTTGTGCTAGATGAGATAAACAGCAAAAAATGTACGTTTCTTAAACTAAAAGCTTGGAGGGTACAATAAAATACTGCAGTTCTACCCTGGTTTTAATGAATGGATTTTCCCCTCTTGCACAATGACATATGTTTGATATAGTTATTTATCCTATATATTTCTTGTGGCATATTTCCCAGGAGACCTTGTTTATCTCGCTCATAAGTACATGATGGATGTATGGCGCTTTGGATAAATGGTATCACAATCAGATATTTTTATGGATATAGGCAAACTGGGTTATTAACAAAGGAAGGGCAGAGAGGAACCAGTACGCAAAAGAAAATAGCAAATGATTGATGACAATACACCTGAGGTTGCAAGGTGCAGACTCCAGATAACCAGCTAACAGAAGAGTAGATAAGGGCAGCATTTGAGACAGAGCTGTTTTCTACCTCAGGGTCAATGTCACACCGACTATCCACATGCCTGTGTCCCTCTGAGCCTGCAATTTTAGAGAAGGCAAAAATTCCCCAGCAGGAGCAGCTCAAAAATTATTGCCTTCTTTTTTATACAGTGTAATGCAGAGGCACAGGAAGATACAAAACATTTAATCCTACCCCAAAAAAACTGAAACAAAAGAAATGCCAGATTCTGGGGAGTTTGGGGTGGGACTGACATTTGTTGTGCTGCTCTATCGTGCCCAATACAGCAGGACTCTTGGTGCTGCATTACAAATAAATAAAAAATATATGTTCATAATGGTAATAATTACTGTCTTCATCTCTAGTTTTGTTGATTTACAGAAGCAGAGGGGTGTTAAAATAGGATATAAAAGGAAGACAAATCTACAAGCATAATTTGACCTGAAATCTGGCAGTTGCCTTGGGTGCTCACTGGGCTCTTTAGCCATTAAGGTACAAGAACTAGGAGTTGGAAATCTGAGAACTGTTAACACCTCTGCATGGACTTGCTGAGTTGCTTTCAACAAAATCTGTCTAGGAGAGAACCTGGGGGTGAACAACTATATCCATTTGATAGCAGGAGAAAGAGGAGCATGGTAAAGTAATTTAGCAATACTACAACTACCACAGGGTTTGCAAGTCCCCAGCCGCAGCCTAGACCATGTTCCGGCCTCACAGGTAAACGTGAAGTGTCTACGTGATATGAAAAGATGGAGAGCAAGTGAATCCAGGCTGAAAATCAGTCTGATTTGCCCATTCCTGACAGAGATGTTACGGGCTGCAAGAGTCAAGCTGTTTTTGTCCTGGGAAAGCTGGATGTGACAATTACAACTTACCTAAAATATCCTTTTGGGAGCTTCCTAAGCTGTGTTGACTGGATCCAGCACACATCACAGCAGCCACGTCTTCAAGCAGGGAGGTGGAGGAAATACAGCTTCTCCATGTTTACTGAGTTTCTTTTTTCCACAAGCAAACTGCTTGTGAAAATATAATATGGGATGTAGTAAAGCCCACTGAGACAGGTATCTTAACCAGAGAAATGGGCTGGAGCAGCACAAGCAGTGCTGAACATGCATGCAGCCTGCCTACAGCCTTCCCAAGTTTTCATATGTGGGTTATTAATCTAAACTTACACAGAAAGTGGAAGTTAGAAACACCAGTAAAAGATAGTAGCAAAATTTAATGCATACCAAAGTGAAACAATAAAAGCTTCAGCATAGTATTTTTTATTACCATCCAGGTCATAATAAATCATTAGTTAGTTGAAACAAAGTACAAAATCACAAGGACAAGATAAAGTTATGTTCTTTATTGGAGGCTTCTAAGCCTATATAGGCTCAGTATTCAACTACTACTGAAATCATACTTCAGGTAGGCTATCCTGCTGATCTTAAAGATTGTCAAATCTCTCTCCCTCCCCGCCCCCCCCCCCCCCCCCAAAAAAAAAAAAACACAACCCAAAAAACCAAACAAAAAAAACAAATATCCAAACCAAGGCACCGCCACTTCAGAAAAATCTGGGCTTTTCTGATCTGGGAACAACAGTCCAAATTCAGGTTGCTACATTTGGCTCTGCTTGCTGCAGCAGTGGATAGATGCACCGTGGCTATGTGTCAGAGTGCTTACTCCAGTTTGATGGTCAGGAAAGGTGGTCAAAATCACAAAAGCCACTCGACTCATCTGAGAAAGTTCCCTAATCAGATTACATTGATGCTTCTCAAGAAGGGCAGGCAACCACACTGCAGTATGTGTCCTCACAGGCACCCATTAACCATGATTAGGGTCCTCTGCTGCAAAGCTTCTCCAGTGTTCCTTTAAAAACTTTGAAGAATATCATACTTCACATAAGCAGTGACCTCATTGACCGTGACCTGTAATGAATCTCTTGGCAAATTTCTATCACACAAAAGATATCACAGTTGTACAGTGGATAACGGATATGTTTTGGGTTGGCAGCTCAATTACGAAGCCCATAATGAGTACAGAGCACTCTTCTTTTACATATGCAATGTGCTCTTTCTTTCTCAAAGCTGTCACAAAAAACTTGTCGATAAGTGTGGAGGCGGCATGAGGGCTACAACTAAATGCATGTTCCATTGTTCAGATGTCAGAGAGCCTGAGTTGTTCTTACAAGAATTACATTTAGACAACGTCAGTCTGAAAGGAGAGAAACTGGTGATACCAACCCATCATCACCATCATTGCTGAAAAACCCTTGGAAGAGTGTTTGACCTTGCAGATGATAGAAGACTCACAACACTTATGAACAACTTTGCACTGGTGGAATCATTTTCCTGGAGCAAAGCTATTGCTGGCTATTTTACAGCATGCCCCACCAAATGTCTTTGCAAAAATCATTAATCACCAACAAAGCTGTAGGAGGCAAGTCCCTGAACAACCCAGGCTCAGGTCAGTCATGAAACAGTGCACAGTATTACAAGTTCCTTTTTCGTTTGACCCAGATTGCGATGCATGGCTCCATGGACAGTAACCAAGGGCAAATCATTCACTTTGCTTTGCCTCTTTTCATAGCAAACTCTCTCCATCTCAAATGTCCTAATCTGAGTGGAGTAGCAATGCAGCTGCTGACATACAGGCTTTCACGGGATCAAACGGATGAACCAGAGCCCGGTTGGGGCAGAGGCAACTCCTAAGGGCAGAAGATCTCAGTGGATGTGCAAAGATGTTTGTTCCAAAATGTTCCATTTATTCTACCCATGACAGAAAAGCTGCCTGCTCCAGTGGGGGGTCCTGGCATCCTGGAGTGACAGCCCCTAGTCAGGGTGCAGCCCCTCCTGCAAGTGTAGCCATCTCTCCCACTTTTCAACATCCCCAAGAGCAGAAGGAGCAGCAGCTGCCTTCCAGTTCCCCATCCCAGTAGCATCTCTCTGTCTTCTCCTCTTCTTCCCAAGGAACCAGAGCATCAGTGTATCTGAGCATCCCGGGGTGTATCTGATACTCTCCATGTATCTGTTCTACTTCAGAAACTGACAGGAGGAAGCTCATTGCTGCAGTAGAACTGCTATACAGTCTAACAATGCTTTGGTGTCACCAGACTGTTCTTCACAATTCAGTTTTCACTCCTTCAAGACAATTTCTAATACAACAGACAATTTAAGTTAAATAAAATAAATTGGGAAACTGGAGTAGCAAGGCACAGTGGCTTTAAATGTCACATTAGATACTATTTTGTTCATTGAGATTTAGACTTTAATGTGCTGTATTTTGCTCCACATGAAACAGCTGACTTCATAGCAGCTGCATATTAGCGCACATTCTGATGCACGTAAGATCAGTCTTTTCTTATCTCAAAGCAACCTTCAAAAACAAGACAGTAAAATTTAAAATCATGCAGCTACCAAACAAGGCAGGAGATAAAGCTTGTCTCAGCCTGTTGCAATAAAGACAGAGAGAAGTCAAAATATTAAGAACAGTAAGCACATTGAATCAAATGGGACAACTGCAAAGCACGTCCAAAGGTGTGATTCAGAACACACACCCAGCTTCCAGTGCCTTCAGAAATGCTCCCAACTTCAATGCACTAGGATGAGAATGCACTCATGGAAGCAGAGCAAAGCCAACTGAGCAAGCCAGTCAGGTAACATCTTCCCACTCAGTTTGCAAATTGTTCATCAGTTTTGTGTAAATTCCTAATGACTCCCTCTAGCAAGGAACTGTCTCAGCATCTGGCCCTGAGCATGATGAACCACCGTTTTGTGGGGCAGGGTTGTTGCACTGTCGTCTCCTTGTTCGTTGACCTCCCAAACATGGAGACCAGCTGGCCCAGCAACCCCAGTTGCCATTAATAGCAGCATCTGGAAAAAAAAACCCAAAGCCAGAAAGGACTGTCAGAATAAAACAGCTCTTTCCATGGGAAGAGCTTTCATGAATCATATTTAAATACAAACAGCTCTACCTCTGACCACAACAGTAACAATATATTTGAGTCATAAACAATGAGTGTTTGTTTTAAAGATGCTAATTCTCTGTTCAGCATTTCTGGTGTTTGCTCAAACTACAATTTATACAGCAAGGACAAGAAAAAAAACCCAATCAATTAGCTTTGTATTTACTTGCAGGATGTTTCTCTCTCTGACTTAGTCCAAGACTAGGTAAGAAACACAGCAACTAAACTCGTGTCAGCTCCATTTTGAGGTGCTAGAGGAAATGTTCACGCGTTCTTCTTCAATGAACAACAGCTTGAATATTCAGCTTTCTATCCATTGCTTTTTCTATTACACTGTTTCTTCTGGACTCTGAGCATGTGAGTGACATAAATTCAAAATCCTGAGAATCATGGAGCTGAACCCAGAGGCAACACATAAAAGGAGGAAAGGGGAGTAAGAAAGCTAGCTACATGTTGACAAGTGGATGGATGTGAGTCTTTGGGAGGGTCGGATGTGATTACACGTGTGGTAAGCAGACTGGAACAAGGTGTAAGTGACTCCACGGTTTAAGGTGCCATGGACTTCCTTAGAAACACCTACAAAATTGACCCTCTGCTCGGTGAAATCTTGGCTTAAAATGTATTTCAGCCTGGATTAGTTAGGACACAGTCATGCAGAAGGAGAACTGGATAAAAAACTGTAAACAAAGCTCAGTGATAAATGCAGTGCATCAAATTGTGGGATGGTGCCAGAGCTCTGGCTGCCTGTGGTCTGGTATTATTTAGCATCTAAATTAACGAGCTGGAAGAAGTAAACAAAATTATTAAATTCACAGATCACCCTAAATTAGGAGTTAAGAACATCAGTCAGGAGACAGCAGCGACATAAAGTGACCAAGAAGCATTAGTAAATGCTTCAAAACAACATAATAAGATTTTAAGATTAAAACGCATGGTAGCATATCTGAGGGAAAACAGTTTGCAACATACTGGCTGTATCAAAGGGAGAAACTTAGGGAACAGAGCTGTTGGAGGAGACCCGAGGCTTGCCACGGATTGTAAATTAGGTAGGAGTTTGTATTTTGATACAATTGCAAGGCGTGTTTATGCAGCTTTGAGCTGCAAAATAAAGCCACCTCCTCGTGAGTGCAAAGGAATTTAGAAGAGGGCAGGCCAAGTGTGTCTGTCACCTTTGCAAGGCCCTAACCCCCCGTGCATCGGGCTGGGCAGAGCGGGGACAGCCAGCGCCGGGCGTCACTTCCCACCCATCAGCTGCCATCCCCAGACACCCCTAAATACAGCTGGGACTGTCTCCTCGGATTTGGGGTGCCTCTTACCTTTCCTCTCGCTGATCTCACAGGCAGTGCCGCTGTAGCCAAGGGGACATAAGCATTCACACTCAGTTCCTGAAAGTGGGCAGAGATGGTGGGATTAGAAACTTCAAGTCACATTTCCCTGCAGACACCCATTTCTTTTCAGTGCTTTATCTTCTGGAAGGAAGGGACAGCGGGTGAAATGGTATCTGCATTTTTCTTTGCTGGTGAAAGTATAAAACAGCGATAAAGCAGGGGAGCTGTGACTACCCTGCCGCCCCTCTCGCCTCCCCAGCCACTTGATCCTGTCACTGCACTGCGGCTACACCGGTGCAGTAATTCAGCGAGCCAGGGTACCACACAGTCCCCTGCTCCTCTCTGAAAGAGATATCTTGGTAGAGCTGTGAGAGAGAAAACTGCAGCATCGGGTATGAGCACCCAGCTTGGCTTTGTGGCAGAGGAAAAGTCCACGTAACCCTGCTCTGGGCTGCGGCGTGCATCCCACTTAGGAAAATAAATGGTCATTTAAAACCTCTTGTTGAGAAGATCCTAAATGAAACGTTAACCTGACTCAGTTCCTAAAAAGTTATTTAAACAAAGGTAATCATAAGACGAATCCTTTAAGTGTTACAATCAACTAGCTGGTATCTGAAGTGATCATTTCTGCATTAGATACATTTAGAAGATAACGATTCTCATCAGGACTTTTGCAGATGCAGATTGGAATTAAGCACTTAACAAAATGGTCCCTTTGTTAGAAGCTCTCATCACATCATATATCTCTGTTTAGGCAGTGCAGTTTTCATTCAATCTGATTATTTTTCCCCTTCATTTTTAAATCACAGCCTGCTTACAAAGGAAGACAGCTTCTATTAGAAATGGGGGGAGGTGATGGTGATAACTGTGCTTGGCACTTACATGGTGCTTTTCATCTTCAAAACACTTTTACAAACACTAATTAATGCTGAGACAGTAGTCACTTCTCTAGGAGGATGGAAGAAACCTTAAATGCAAAGGAGGAGACTGAAAGATGTCAAGTTGTTTTTTTTTTTTTTTTTAATGCATAATTGAAAAGGAACAAATTCCTCCACAAAACTGATACAGATGGTCACTCCCATTAAAAAGACACATCCCTTGACTTCACTGTCTTTACATACCAGTGGCACCCTACAAATAGACCAACTCATAAAAAAAAAATAAAAATTGACTACTTGAAAAAGAAATGCCAGGAGAAACTAAAGATCAGATTACTCGCCAAGCTTCCTCACTCCCCACAAATTCCCAGCTCATTTCTCTAAAGAGGGTAGAGAGGAGGTGTAGAAAACTTTCTTACCCTGCAGAAAGGGGATGCCATTGCCGCGGCACGGAGCACAGTGACAAGAACTGGTCTCCAGCTGAAACTCATCAAGAGCCCGTCGCAGATTTTCTTTTATTGTGATTGCATTAGCAAAGTCAGTTGGAGTCACCAGCTGATACAGTGGTTCTGCCTAAAGGGAGGGAACAAACGGCATTTGTTTCCAAGTTCAAGATGGTGCGAGCATCACAGGGTTCAGTGGTGGCAGAGCTGGAGGGGGAAATGAAGGCCTTGTGGTACAGGCTCCAGGTTTGGCATCAGTATTTCCCTAAACCTCGTGAACAATAAGGCAGCGATGTCAGGAATACTTACAGGGACTCTCCCCTTGGTTTACAACACCAAAGCAGTTGCAAATGCATAACAAAATACAAGTCATACCGTTGGTTGACAAACGAGCATAGTGTCACAGAAGTTTAATTAAATCATTTCTCATCCATTTTCCTGATACTGACATTGTTAGAATTCAGAGTTGCTTAAACTTATGTTCCCTGAGTGCTCTCTTAGTCTGATTTAAAAAAGGTCCCCTAAAAACTCACCCACGAAATCCTCCTTCATTCCTCCTACAGCCACACAGCACAGCCAGAGGCACATGGTCACTGGCACTCAAATTTGCACTTTCACCTTAAGCACTTCTGCATTTCAAGGCTGATTTCTCTCTTTATGAAGCCAAGATAAGGGTTTCTACTCTCTTCAGAAGCGAGAGGATTGTGATCTTCATCTGCAGATGGGGTGGGTGGGAGCAGATAAGGGAGTGCACTCCATGGTGAACGTGCAGTAGGGACCAAGGAGACTTGGACCCACTCATTTACTTTTTTCCTGAGAACAAGGGAAAGGTAAAGTGTGGTCTCAATACTGCCAGTCACCCACTAATGCCAGTGGGACAACATTGGCACGTGTCATCAGGGGATCCACCCCAAATTCCCATCTTGCTATAGAGATGCCTGCCATACAGGTCATGGCAATACAGTAAGCATGAAAGATCACACTACTGCTATCAGAGGCTCAAGCTACAAGACATAGAAGAATGTTTCAATAAAAAAATGCTCATTTCCTGCTGCTGTACATTTACTCTTCATCAATTATCTGTGATCCATACTTTGCTTTTTGAATTCAGTTCATACAAATGAGGAAACACACTAAGAGTGACCTGCCAAGTCCCTTCAGCAGATGATTTATGAACTGATTTGCTTTAGTTTTCCTTAACTAAGCATTCTTGTGCTGACATTTAGTCACACTCTGCTGGTACTTTTGATCTTCAAGCCCCACAGGGATATCAGTATGGAAATTAAGGTTTATAGATACCAAATCCAAATTACATCCATCTGGGTTTTTTCACTGGGCAGCCAGGTCACTGATGCTAGGCAAGACAAAGAACATCACAGTTTCTTGCAGGAGAATTTTCTTTACATGAGATCTAGTGCAGAGTGTTGCATTTCTGTTGTCTCCTGCCCAGAGACCTCCCAGCACATATCTGGAAGGTCAATCCATAGCGCACAAGGGGCTGCAGCAAGTGCAGAACAGGCACTGGCTGTATTTCCAAATTACTGATTTTTGCTTTGCTTTACATTTTTTTTAGAATTCACCTCTTTTTTTTTTTTTTTTTTTAATGAAGTCAGATTTTTCAATGAGAACAAAATATCTTTCAAATATATAAATACTTTTGCCTAAAATTAAATTTTATAATAAAAAACAGTTACACAATAATAAAATCAACTTCTACCACTACCAGTCTAAACTCCTGTTTAAAAGGATCTTCTCTTGCACCTTTGTACTGTTCACTCGGAGTGAACTTATTTTGATATTAAAAATGATGAGGCAGAATTGCTACATACTTTTGCTCGGTTTTTACTTTTACAGTGCCTTGCATTTCTAAAACTCTTCAGGATCAAAAAACCCTGACACTTCAAAATCTAACTCATATTTTTAAGGTTTACCTAAGCTGCACAAACACGCAGGCATGTATGGTGAACTACTTGACCTTCTGAACCAGGGAGAATTGTTGCTAAATACTCACTTGTGCTTACAGAAGACAGGAGAAATTTCAAGAAAAAAAAAAGTCCTTATAAGATACATGCTTCCAGATATATTTTTGATAAGTGATACACTGGTAAAACAGAAGGTCGATTGTCTGATCTCCTTGGTAGGCAGCAAGCGATCACATCTGCACAGCCCAGTTAGAAGGGTTAAAGCTGTTTACTCCATGTACTTCCAACCACCCTCTTTTTAATGCATCACGCCTTTGATTTTCTGAATACCCGGTCTTAGAGAAACTATGCTGCACAATACAGGTTTATTATTTGGCCTAGAAATTTTCCTCTTTAAAAAAAAAAAAAAAAAAAAAAAATCCTATTTATTTAAACACAGAGTTCTCCAAGGTGTTCAGCTAAGTCACGCTGAAATAAGTGATGGATACAGTACCTTTATCTTTATGATTTCGGGGTTGTACTGTATAGCATCTCCCCATTCCTGCATGAGTGCAGCCGTTGGCAGGTCTTTGTAAGCCAGCGTGGTAATGTGTTCGCTTGCTCCGCCACGGACAAGAACGATGAAATCTTCCACATACTGTTTTTTGGAGGTGCCGTCTGCAAAAATGCATTCAGAAAGTGGCCAACTCTGCTCAGGTATGTCTTTGTGGATTGCAGTTGAGATACAAGTTAACAGCAAAACACCCTTGGAGATGACCCATCCCACTGAGAGGGCAAAGGAAGAAGGCCACTAATGTTTCACACCAGGAATCTGGTTTCCTATGCTGCATGTCCTGTGCCCCTCCTTCTTCTTTGCAGCAACACCCCCATCCTCCTCTCCTGCATCCTAAATCTCTCCCTATTTCCCCCCCTAAATTTTTTCCCTATGGTTATAAGCTTGCAGGTCCTTCCAGAGCCCGATGCTCACCACCATGAATATTGCCTGTTCTTCTCCGCACATCTTCTAGGTGTACCCTCCTCCCACTGCAACACCCGCAGCTTCCCATATGTCCCCTGAGGCTCCACCAACACCATTACCTCCCTGCTTTCCCCATTTGGGCTTTTTTGGGTGCAAAAAGCAGCATGCTGGGCTGCTTTGCTGAGAGATGGGTAGATCACTAACATAGCACCAGCCAGGTGGGTAGTGGTTGATCTGTCCCTGCTTTTCCCTGGGACACTGAGCAGATATTTCTTCTCTACTCAGCAAATAAAATCTTGCAAAAAAACAAGCTTTGAGACATCTACACCTCTGTTAAGCTTGGTTGGGGTTAGCCAGCAGAATCAAAAGCTGGAGGGAGTGGGGAAATATTTCAGGCAGGCAAGATCACAAAATTTTCTTTTCACTATGACAAAAGCTAGAAATTAAATGGCAGAAGTGTTTCATGCTTACCTCCAATCTCTTTTAAAAGGGATTTACAGCCAGCTTCATTTATTCCAAGCTTCAGATAGACACCATCAATATTTGCACCAATGTTAAAGCCATGCTGTGCACATTTCTGGACATCATTCAGAGAATAACCTTAAATAGACACCAAAAATTTGTAGGGTTTTAATACAACTGTTTGTTGGTTTATGTCCACATACACAGAAAATGGGAGCTGATAAATATTCCTCTTTTGGGAAAAAAGGAGATAAGGTGAAGGAACCTTTTTTGGGATATTTAACAGTTCTGTATGAAATAAAATTAAATCTCTACATTTTACAGGACTCTGAAACCAAGTGTAAATGCAAGGCAAATGATGGAAAAGGAGGATTTTAATTACCAACTCAGCTGTACTGGGTTATGCAGAGCTGCGATGGGTGGGAGCCTGGCCTGTGACTTAAACGCCAAGTGTCTTTGATAAAGGACTACCCACCACCCGTTCCCATCATCAGGAGCCAGGCTTTTTAAAAGTAACAGATAAAGTAGATTTTCATCCCTTTGCTAGCTCACATGCCCAATTCTCTACTTCCAGAAGAGCCTTAATTGTTTCATGGAAGTTTCTCCATGAAGCTCTACTGTAATTCTTTTCCTGGCATATAAGAATTTGCCCTAAAAATCTGCAAAGTCCTTCTCCAAACTCCTTGCCGTCCTGACAGTCAAAAATATTTAAGCAGTTATCACAGTGAAACACCAGATATTACAGTAAAGAATCTCTTTTCTTTCTCTACTTTTTTTTTGTTGTAATCCCCTACATTTCCATGAACTCTACTTTTTTGGATAAACTCCTGTCGTGATGATACAAATGTTTACATAAGCTTATAATGCAAGTATCTCCATATGGCTGTCCTGTTCTTATGCTCTTCTCATACATCTGATATTGGCCAGTTTCTAGATCAGAAAAGAGGGTGCACTGAGTTTTGGGTTGATGCAGGATGGCCCCTATTAATGTTCATAGTCCATATGCACCTGAAGACAGGAACTACTATTTTATGACAACCTTGTACAGCACAATTCAGAACTCTCTCCTGCCGTCTTTCCCACAGAAAGTGTCAAATCATGAATCACAGACACATCTGGCACATTGGATTATACGTGAGAGCAGTGCAAGTACCAATCATGAGACATGGCGTGTGATATTAGATCTGCAAAAGAAGACTTGATTTCCAACACAGACAGTACAGACATAATGATGGATTTGAAGGGAAAAACCTGAATTCTCTGACTGGACCTACCAAACTCCAGTCGAGAATTTACAGCCCAGCTCAGCACTGGAGATAGCGTGAAAATGTTGATACTACTGCAGGATCCTGATCTAGGTCAGCAGACACTGACAGGCATCATTTCAATGCTAACAATAATAAACATTAGTTCAAAGAAATGTGGCTTGTGATGGGCCTGCACCAACAGCTGAGAAATTGGGCAGTGCTAATGTTTTGAATATCTGAAATCTGAGTCTAAATCCTGTCCCTCCAGGCGTTATCTGCCTACAGGATAAGCAACTTCCTAGATGGCAGAAGAGCAAACAGACTGAGCATCACACACAGCAGAGTCCACTAAATGCTTTTGCAAATAGACAGCAAAGGCAGTTACTCACTCCCATGCCAATGAATAAATAAGAGAGTGCAGCTATTGATTAATGTCACACGGCTCGCTCTATCCTACACAACAATCATAATTTCTCACAAAAAAGGAAGCTAGAGCCAAAGAGCAAGAGCAATGTCAGGCACAAGAGTCACCCAGCAAATTATTTACTGTTTCCTACATGCTGGAAAAGCTCTTGAGGCTAAAGGTGTTTCAAAACTGTCATTTGAAAGGCAATGGAAAAAGGACTTAGGTGAAGGTTTTCAAAGCTAACAAAAGCGTTAAGCTACATGATCCTCATTCATCTCAACGTCTTGTCAGCCTCCAAAATGTGTCATCTAAAATACTTGCTACAGGGGCCTTTGTTGTAAACTGGCAGCACCCACAGCTTGAGAGCTGGATGAAGCCCGTGATGCTGAGCATGCTTTGAAAACCAGGCTCTTTATTCACTGCCATAAAGCACTTCTAGTGCCCTATTTCCCGCAGGCTGTCTTTGAGATGTTGCTGTCTCCTTCTTCCACCATCACTCATTTCTGACCTCAGACCTGAACCATCACTGAGTGCCTGCAGAGGGGTTTTCCCACCGAAAACCTGGCCCCAATGCTTTTTCACAACCATGAGATGCACGTACCTGCCTTCTGCAGCTCATTGCTGTTCAGGACTAAAGTATATTCGTAGATGCCACCGACGGTAGCCTCCGTGATGTAATGGGTCCCGTAGTCTCTGTAGAGCTCTCTGTACTCCCCATAGCTGTACTCTGACGGGAGCTGATGGAGTCTCTGCAGGAACTCGTAATGCAGCATCAGGGCTCGGGGCTTCAGTTTATAAATGGCAACAGCCAGCTCAGAACGGGCATGAATGAATTTGCTGGACTACATGAAATGCAGAAACACAAGAGAATCCAGAAGTGAGGGATGTCGTTCTTGTGACAATGTGTAGTTATTTGCTATTAAGCAGTTAACTCTGGTCAGGATTTATCAGTTTAACAGTTTGCAACTGGCAGTCTTTTAATTTAGCAAAGCCAAACCTTTTAGTAGTAAAGTTTCTGAAAATCAGGATTCTGATCGGTATTAGAGAGGAAGGAGGAAAAGGGAGGGACACCCATTACAGGTTAGGTGATGGCTCGGGCCACGACTGGGACATGGGGAAAGGCAGGCTCCAGGCTCTGCTCTGACAGACCCAGGACACAAGCAGCATCCCACGAGACTGTTCTACCCCTAATAACGTTGACCAGTCTTTGCCTTTCACAAGCTCTCACCTGAAAAACTCTGACATCTGAACACATGATGATCTGTATCTGAAATGGTAGTTTTCTGGCTGATCCAAATTAATATCTATATTCCACAGAATATGCTGTTAACAAAACTCAAAGAAGAAAACGCAAACACTCATACACACAAATGTATTTACGTGTCTCTGTGAAGATACGTGCACATGGATAAATATTGTATCTCCCCTTTCTGGCATAAAAGTCAGGAACACAAGAGGTCTTTTGTCATGTTCAAAGGATTTAGTGTCCAGTTGTTTGGGCCAGCAGGATGAAAACATGGTGGAAGGGTTCAATAGAGAACTCTGTAGCTTAAATAATAAAATCAAGACATAGTATTGGGTTCCTTTATGGATATCTACTGAAAATGCTTCTCATATACCTCTGATCTTGTCATGGGAAATGCCTCTTTGCAGGAAGCAAATGCAAGTTTAATAGCAACAAGGAACACTCTGCCATTCCTGACTGCACTTTATACTGAGGGCAGAGACATAGATCAGTGATACTATTAAACCATTGACAAGAGCTAGGTTTGTTTACAGCAATAACAGATGAAAAAAAGAAATCAAATGATGGTGCACACTACCTCACACTGAATCTCATAAAGCAGTCCTAGGAGTTATAGATTAAAGCATCTCCAGCCAGCTTAAAGTGTGCATCAGATCACAGCTGCGACCAAATCCCTGCAGATGAGACTGGAAGTGATTGTGCCATCCATATTTTCTGGTGTGTGTGTCCTGAGCTGGTGAATGATGTAGTTGGCCTATAGATCACATCAGCCAAAGTAAAATGGTACGTGTTAGTCCATAATTAAACCCATGGAAGGCCTGCTAAGTTTTTGTTCTGTGTCATCATCAAGGCTGCCCTACAGTTGAACAGCTTGGCTTCGCTGTTTGCACTGTCATTTACCGAAGTGACAGCTCCTGCCTTGCCGAACCCACCTAAAAGAGGGATGGCCCTTCACATGCGAGATGATATTCTGCAGCGATCACACAGACAATAGCCATTCACACCACAGACTGGTTTCTAGACTGTGTGTACAGGTGCAGAAATTCCCAGAACTGCCGAAAATCCTATTTGCCCATCCTTCACCAAACATTTCTCTATTAGTCGCTATAACTCAGCCGCAGGGCAGAGGGAACTCTGGGCTCCTGGTTCCATTAGCTAAACCCCAATTCTGCCTGCGCAGATTGCTTTGGAGGAGTCGCTAGGTTGGTTGCACCCCCTCACCTCCCACCTCCCAGAATGCTTTGACGTCAGTGGTAAGAACTTTTTAAAGGCTTCCATGGCTGGGGTGCAGCACAGAGACTCTGCTAGTACATCTCCTACTAGTGAGTTCACTGTATGGAGGGGAGGCCGTCTGAACCAGCTTCTTAGTTTAACTTTTTCAAAATTACTTCACTACAAACATCCAAATGTGGATGCCCAGCAAGACCCTGGACAGACTGCACTCAATTGTGTCTGATTTTGGAGGTTAGGCCGTCCAGTTCCTGGCTGATAGGTGAACGGAAAATCTCCTGGGTGCTCTAAACACAAATGAAGGTGTTGTGGCCTTAGTTAACACCTGATCAATGCAAACTGCAAAATCCAATCAGGAGGAAAGATTTCTTTTATCCTAGTCATGGCTGCTGACCCGATGATGAGGATCAAACCAATATACATGCACATACAAATAATGCGTTAGCAGAGAATTAAGTGGAGCCATGCTTACAGTTGAAGAAAACCTTTTCATCCTTTGAAGGAACTTCTTGAACCTGTTGTCATTCGAATTGTAACCAAGTTCAAACACTCCTGGTATTTTAATACCAAAGCTGAAGCTAGTCTGCGAAGCTTTTGCCTTCAGGACAGTGCTTTCATAATTTGAGTAGGAGTCATATTCAGTCATTGTAAATTCATATTTGCCTTTGGTCTAAACAGAAAGCAAAAACAACACGTTTAATTTCCTGCATAGAGATTGTATACCTGAAGCATGGGGAAGGAATACAGATACAAATATACTTGTGAATTAATGCTTGCACTTTGAAGATGAAAAGCCTTGTATAATTGCAAAGCACTATTATTATTAACACTGGTACTTCAAGAATACTTGATTTACAGCAGCAGGAAAGCTACTATCTCCTCCACACTGCAAGGACCTCAGGCTTTTACTTAATATGTCAATCTTATGCAAACGAGGTGAAATCTTAAACACCGACATCAATTAAAGTATGAATTTTAAAAGGAAAAGGTTTCCTAGTGGGCAACACTCAAAAATATCATGCCATGTCATCAAGAACATTAAGGTCAAATATATAATATTTGAAATACAGCTTTGATGCGCTACAGAAATAAGCTTTCACACAAAGCACATGGTGTGCTGCTAAATCCCAGGCTGCTGCCCAAAGACAGCTCTCCCAGCATGGCTCTCAAGACACTTTACAATTCTGTTTAAAATAAACCTCCCCGTGTCCCCTGCGTGGCTTTCAGGCCCTCTTGGACAGATGGCACTGGGAAGGTTAGGCTCAGTTTCTGCAATTACAAGGTCCAAGGGAACATCACCATCTATTTCAGTGCACAAGGATGATATAAGGGGACATGTCCAATTTCATAAAGTGCGTGGGGTATGATGATGTTTTCTAGAAGTAGGGCTAAATTCAGTCTCATTCCATTTGATCTCAATAATTTTGTAATTTTTTATAAATCTAATTTTTTATAGTAATTAAGCTTTATCGGTATTGTGCACTAAATTTGTTGGAATATAGGTATGTATGTTTATTTGCAAACAAATCTGAGACATACCTCTGGTGTATAGCTTTCAACATTATATGGCTTTCTGAATCTTGTGTCCGTGATATAATGGGGAGAACATCCCCCAGCATAGTACCTGTGATCAAGAACTAATCCTTCCAAGTTGTTTGTGAAGATATTTAACCTGTACATGAAGCAAAACAGCAAAATATCATCATCGATTTAGAGGTAAACATCAAATGCCTTGGCTTAGAAAGGCAAAAGATTGCTTTGTTTGGCTGAGGGCTCTTTGTTTCATACCTCTTGTTTTTGAAACCCCAAAAGAAAGTTTTGCCTCTGTCACTGTCTGACCAACCCAGTTGCTCCAGAAAAACCTGACTGACTAACAAAAAAGCAAAAGACAACAGTCAAATTTTGACACTTCAGTGAATATGAAGGGCAATTTTAACCACCCAGCTATGAATGACACCAGAGCATTACCACGACCAGCACTGGCAACTTTTGTAGCCTTTACTGGAACTCTCCGGGAAGAGCAAAGCAAACTGAACCAGACAAACTCCTGCCCCACCAGGTTGCCCACCCCGAGCATCCCCGAATGCTCGCAGTAGTGCAGCAGCATCCAGCAGGATCTTCAAAGATGGGTTTGCCAGCCCATGTGATCAGTCCAGAATAATTTTTAATTGACATTTCTTTGTTCTGGTTTATCAGTCATAACCTTTGCCAGGTTGGTCAAGGACCAACCAGAGGTCAGCAGATGAGAATAAAAACTGTCAGGGAACAAGAATAAAGGTGCTTAAGCAATTGTTCAACTAATCCTTGATATCACTGGGAAGTTTTCCTTTTATTTTAGTGGATGATGGATGGTAATCTTCACCTGTCTGCTCTAAGAAAGGACGTAGCACTGCAACCTTTTTAGATGAGGTGATTAAACCCCAACATTTGCTTTTTCTATTGCTGCTGGTGGGATCTGTTGCAGTATAACCCCTTCTGTTGATCACTGTCAGGACACCCTCACATCACCTTTGTGGCACACAGCTGAGGACATGGCATTCATTTCCACAAACTCATGCACAAATAGTCATTAGATGAAACTTCACCAAAAAAAAGATGAATTGCTAATAGTCCATGTCGTGTTCTTATTAGTGTTCCAGGTCTGTTAGATCTGCCTATCCTTATTTTGGAGAGAGGCTTGTATGCTAAAGACTCTGAAGCTGTAAAGTATTAACTCTAATTTTAGAACAACCTGAAAAGAATGGAAGTCCACTAAACGCAAATTACTGAGCTATTGTAGCTTCAAAGAGATGAGAAGCACTCTTCTATAGTTGTCCAACATTATTTTTAATTTTGATTAAACTCAGAAGTACAAAGCATTAGCAATGACATGTGCAGAAGCCATATCTCCAGAGAATAAGGAGAAATCAGAATTTTCTCCTTGCAATATGATTTTTTCTTTTTTTCTTTTTTTTTTTTTTTAATGTAAAAAGCATTTTTTTCCTGCAGAATGAGAAAATATTTTTTTCACATAGTCCAATCTTACAGAAATTTACCCCAGTCTTAGCCTGTAAAAGCTGGACCAGTTCAGGCTTGAATTTTAATCCCCATGAGGTTGTAGCTTGCTAAAATGCAGGTTAGTCCTACCCCACTCACACAAAGGACACAAATTCCACCATCTCTCACTGTCATGGAAGAAATATAAGAAATTTTGACACATACACCCTCTCCACTCCCCACTTCCCCCCCAATACACTGTGCAAAAATACAAATTCATAGTCAGGTTCAGATTTTAGGCAACCCCAGATACTGATTTAAGTCACTCTATAAAGAATTAATAACATTATCATCAGATTTTAACAAACCTTCCTTTGCTTTTATTTCAAAAGCACGGTTTGAAGTAGTCTCCCAGTTCTGAAAGGCTAGGACATTCCTGCTCCCTACAGATTGAATTAGGCCAAAGTCTAAATTTACTCAGATCTGTGCAAAACAACTGGATTATCGAAACTCTCCCACTGATTAATTTAAGTGCAAGTACCTGTAGACATTAGAGAAACGTTTGGTGTTGACACTTTCCTCTTCAGTCACCAAGTTTTGGCAACACAAAGGGCACACACAGGCTCTCGCACAACGTATTTGCAAGCTGAGCTGATGGTCTTCACAGGTTGCACGAGGGACTTTTACTCACCTCATCTCTCTCTGAAAGACTCATGGTGACAATAAGGATTTTCCCAACAGGGTTTGGATCAGGAGCCCAAAGGCTGTCAGATCCCAACCAACTCCTGGATACAGCAATTGCTACAGCTTTTCTCCATTCCACGTTTACTTCTGAAGCCACATAAGATCATTCTTAATCTTAAGTAAGAAAGCATCTCATGGTCACTGACTTACCCTTTTGCCAGATTCTCTATTCCCCAGTATTGCTCCATCTCCTGGTCACATTTTTTAAACACTTTTTTGCAGTTTTTTTCATCTGACTGGTCCCCACAGTCATCATCCCCATTACAAAGCAGCCTCCGTGTAATGCATCTCCCTAGGACACAAGGTGTAAATTACTCATAACCCAATCTATTATCACATACCCTGACTCAGAGTCTAGAAACAAAATAAAAGACTCCTGTAATGTATGGTTCAAATCTAGCTGAAAAATATTTCTTTTCTATCTGCATAGATCACCAAAGTCCATCTGTTCAGTTTTGCTCAAAAATTTCATAATCATAAAATTCCTTGTTCAAACTAGAAAAAAACTCCACCCTAATTACAAGTATAAGACAGAATAGAATTTTTTTGTTGCTGTTGCTGAAATTTTTTAGTTTTGAGAAAACAAACATGCTGGAGCCTGTTCAGCAGACCTTGTATATGGCATTATTTTCTCATCCCTTCCCACGTCCATAATTACTGAGATGTTTTTCAGCCTCACCGAAACAGAAGCCGGGGGGACAGGGATCAGAGCTGCTGCCCTTTGTCCCCTCTCCTGTGCTGAGCTCCCTCCTGCCCCAGCACCCTGCTCCCTGCATACTTCCCTCTCTGCTGCCAGGCTGCAGATGCAAAGCAGAGGCCGATCACATTTTGGATACAGCTAAGTGCTGCCTTGCTTCCACACGGTGTCCCTGACTAATTAGTTGTTGAGAGGGGTGGAGGGAAATGCCATGAGGACCGCCACCATAACCTGCTGGGCTCTTGGGCTGTGTCAGGGATGCCCAGTGCATGTTCTCCTGTTGCTGTCAGATCCACGGGTGCTACAGATTTGACTGATATAACTGGGTTTTAATTTCCTATTTGGAGATTTTAAAGACATACTTTTGACTGACAGATATTGGCTAACAGACAAAATCACTGATGCAAACACAAGACAAGCATGGATGGACCCGGCTCAACTCCTGACGTCTCTTTAGCCCAGAAAACTCTTGCAGAAGCAGAAAGCTCAGAGCAGTGGTGCCAGAGATACCACCCGAGCACCACCACTTCTTACTCTCTAAGTCCTTACCTGTAACTGCACACACAAAACCTTCACATCTAACTTTACTCCTGCAAGGATTAGTTGTAACACAGTCTTCGGTTTCTTTGTCAGTGTAATCACAGGGATCTCCATTGAACTGAGAAGGTTGTTCCAAGCGGGCAAATCTGTACTGTGATTAAATAAAAAATATTGACTCAACTGTACAGAAATTGCAAATTTTATGCTTCCCTAGTTAAAAAACAAACTTTGTGTTGGGGACATCTGATCTAAGAGTACTGTCATATAAAAAAAAAAGTGTCAGCAAATAAGTGTAATGCCGGTAACGTGCCTCATTTCAAAGGCTTCTGATCTGTGATAGTTTTAATTTTACTAAGGAAGGATTGAGGATTGGAAGGGATGAAGGAAAGTTCGCTTTTCTTTGACAGTTTGTTTAAATGAGCCTGACAGGGTAGTGCAGGCATTTGCAAGAGTAAGGAAGGATTCTGTTACATCTCCCCTCTTTCAATTAGCGCTGGTAACAACATCCCTTGTTATTTTCTGTCAGTGTATTTACTTGGCCCTCTGTATCATTAGGGATTTTTTTCCGCCCACAACACTGCTGTGAAGCAGTCAATTACTCCGTCCAATATGTTATCCCTCCTTTTTTTCCCAGCTTTTAAGATTAACTCTTTGATATGAAGCTTCACTCTTCCCAACTCCTGACACTGGTTATTCCTGCTTAAGCCTGGGAATGGCTTCTCCAACTCATTAGCAGAGGTCCCTCTAGCAACGGGGATCTTGCTCTTCATGCTACTGAGATCATTACTTTCATTTCATGGGACTTCTAAAGTAGAAAATGCTTGTTGGCAGACAAGAAAAAGCATCTTAATCCTGAGAGGCACTGAGTGTCTCCAAGTCCCATGGGGGACCATTAGTGGGGGTGGTGCCCTGCACTGTCGCTGGAAGAGGAGGACTGTTGGAGAGAAAGTTCCTGTGAAGTCTGGGCTTCCTGCTTGTTTTTCCACCAGACCTAGGCCTACACAATCTCAGGACAGTGAGGCAGCCTGGAAAGCACTGGAGTTACTGAGGGTGGCAAGCTGAAGAGCTAAAAGCCACCTGAAAGCAAAAGCCCGCAGTCTCACCTGTACATCGCTCTCCTTGTCAGCTCCCGGCTGTTTGCCCAACCCCACGGACAAAAAAGACAAGGCTTGGAGGAGCTCCTGCCTCCTGGTTTCTCGGGCTTCGTGCCCAGACCGCAAACACTCACCCTTTTCTTTTGGCAGGGATCGCACTTGCTCCATGAGGACCAGGCGGAGAGCACGCAGTCACGGGGCTGCAGCAGGTTGCTCACAGACCGGGCACGCCGGCCCTTGGCCACGCTCTCGGCGCCGCTGAGGCTAAGGGACTCCTTTTCACCACTGCATTCAACAGAACGAGAGCTTCAGGGTGTGAAACCACTGAGTGGTGAGGACAGAGCAACTTGGCCTGTACCTGTGCAAAACTGCACGCCGAAGAGAACTAACACTTGTCAGACTTCATAAAATTTTCCAAGCAACCTCTAGATTTCAGTGCTCGTTTCATACTGGCATCGATTCTGTATGAAACTTGACCCACTTTTCAATGCCCAAGAGTAGACCCCGTCCTCTACACCACCATCATGACAATAAATCTGCGAAGCGCTCAGGAGGGGTGACTGCAGGACACATGTTTGATCTAGTCAGCATGGGAAACTCAACCCATGTCCCATCAACCTGCGCTTCATGCCAAGATGTGCAAGCCCTACCAGATAACCTGGCCAAGTGGCCAGCAGTAAAATCTGCACCATCAGCTGCTGCCCTTGCCCCATCTCTGCCTGCTGCTTGCTGTACCGGCAGCACTTTGGTACCTCGCTGCTGTACATGACGAACAGCTCCAAGGTCAGTCACCTCCATGACAAACACCAGTCGCTATGCTAAGGACTGGCATGCACTCAGCATTTTTGAAAACCAGGATTAAGCATCTCCCTTTGCCGAGCAGCCTGTTTTTTCTCAAGCTGGTCAAACCCATTAGTCTTAGACTCTATTCTCTGTTCACAATAGAGAGTCATTAACCCATTAATCCCATTCATCCCAGTAATAAACCTGAACCCCAAGTGAGAGGCTTTACTCTTCACCCCAGCCTCTCTCTCACCCCCTTCACGTGGCAACTGTCTCCAAGGTTTCCATGATGCCACAGTTAAAATGTTGCCTACTCTTTTGGCAGTTTCAGTATTACTGATTAAATCCCCATCCCAGACAAATGCTTCCCTGTAGCACCTAATCTAAGAGTGAAGCTTTAGTAAAACATTGACAATTAATTTCTTTTCATACCCACTTTGACAAGTAAACTACCACAGTGGTGTTCCCATTTCTTCCACCAAGATAAGGAATAGCATCAGCTGAAGTTTTAAGTATGATTTAATGCCTGGCAAGGGGGTTCCATTACTGCATATTAAAAATCACATGGAATAAAGGAATTACAAAAACTCATCAGCTCGCTGAGGCATGAAATCAGAGCTCGAAGTTGAGAGAAGAGTGGAAAAATATAGTTGGATTGGAAAGATTACAGTCACTGATTGACCACAGTCCTCTGAAAGAGCAAAATCTATTAAGCTAGCAGAGAAAGAAGCAACTATCAGCCAGATTCTCAACATTTACGTACTCATAGAAAACAAACCCTGTCTCTCTAGCGCAGTCAAGCAGCTAGCACTGGAGAAGGCTGCATGCTGCAAACAGAATTCCACACTACAACATGACCATGGCGATTTGTCATCTCAGATTTATCAAGCAGGATTACTTTTCTAAAGGCAGACACATTGCACCACGTTAACTTCAAAACAATGTTTTTCGCTATTCATTAGACATGCAGAAATCGCTCAAGACAGCAATTATGTGCCATAGAACATAAAGCAAAGAGTCTGCACCGATTTTCATTCTTTATCATATCACCCCATGGACTTGGCTTCAGAAACATTCACTTACCCAAAGCAATGAGCGGTTAGGATGCCAAGGATGGCACAGAGCAGCAACAGTTTCATGGGGTACGGAGCAAACACGGTGCGTGCTGTGCTCACCGCTCCAAGGTACCATCGGCGACTCAAAACCACCACCGCTCCCATTCCGTCTGCTGGCGGGGTTTGAAAATGGTTCAAGTAGAAAAAGATAAATTACCAGAACATTTTTGCACAGTGTAAACAGCAGATGACCCACCACCTGGCAGATTCACAAGGTAAACATTGCAACTGTTAGTACATGTCTTTCTGGAGGCAAGTGGGAAGGAAGCAAATATCTGTCTAGAAGCAATTTATGCTTTCATTTGTAGTGCTCCTTTCAAGGGACAGGGAAAAATGAATATTTCAACAAATGAAACATGCTCCAGTCTTGGCAAGAGGGAAGTGGTAAGTAAACTAAAGTCATCTTTCTAGGAATAGAGTGTAAAATCATTTATTTATTTCTGCTTTTTGCGTCTGTCTTCCAGAGGAAGGCCAGGCACGCGGCATAAAAAGTCATTTTCATGGCTCAGGGAGAGCTTTATCCCCGAGCGTGTCCTCACTGCCTCATACCAGGACTCAGGCTCATGCTGCAGGGGAAGGCAAGAGCCCCACTCCTGGCTGGGCCTTTCCGTAGAGATTCTCTGCTCTGGGTACACAAAGTCTTGAGCCCATGGCAGCACAACCTCTCAGGCTATCAAATTAAATGTCTTGGTGTTTTCTAGCTACTACATTGAGTCTTTTTCTCTCTTAAATGGTCCTAAACAGGACAGAGAACTTACCAAGGTCTGATTACCATCAGTTCCATTGGGCTTTCAAAGGCAGATCACATCTTCAAAACCTTGCAGAATTTTTCTTCAGTTGCCTGTTGAAGTGACTTCAGGTATGGCTTTTTGATTCCTGAGACACAACAGTCTTTCCCTTCATTTTCCTAATTAGTCTTAGCCGACAATGAGAACCTTAGAGAGATAAAAGTTCTCAGAATCTGCTTCCCTGTACAAAATGATCAATATCATTATGTTTTGCCACTGTTCCTCTTGCTGGACAAGCAGAGGTTCTTTGAAGAGACACAGTCTCACTCTGTGTGCAACTCTGGCTTTTAGCAGCACAGTCTCTCACCCTAAGTCTCCAAGTGCTTTGATGATACAAAGAATAAATACATTTTAATTTGCTCATTATGGTAATAATGGATGCTATATATAAAATTAATCATATTCACTAAAACAAAACAAACCTGACAACCTCAGTGTCATTATCTGGCCAAGTGCTACAGCTCTTAACATGTCATAGTTACCTTACAAATGACATTATTCTGACTGTGGAGCCATGTCTCTGCAAAATAAGCAACTGGCTGCTGCATCTTTCTAGTTTGGCAGCTTGATGATAACAATTTAACAGAGAGAAGCACATTAACTGAATCCTTGCAGGAATCTGCTCCGAATAAAAAAGATTGTCTTTCAGGCAGCCAGTTTTTTAACCCAAAGTTACTGAACACATAGTCAGTGATTAATGGCCCTCTAGACATAGAGGACAAACTGTTAGGAAAGATGGCTTAGGCTATGCAAAGCTTCTTGTTTGCCTTTCTTGCCTTATTTTTATGTTTCAAATGACTTTGCCCCAGACTGAACCCAAGATGTGCCTATGTGATACAGCTTGCTCAACCTTTGACACAATTGATTTTGCTGTTAATCATTTGTCCATGACAAAAAAAAATCACTTACAGAAAATATCTCTCCATACATGGGACCTTTGCTGGCTGGGAAATGCAGTACACATCCGAATTTCAATAGCAGCAAAAGAGAAGTTAAGATTATAAGCACAGAGCACCCTCTAGATTTAATTGCGAACTATGACAGTGATCCTGGCGTGCGAAGATCTCAAGACAACCCGCTCCTGCTTGCTGCTTGTCTGTTTTGCTGCCACTCACCACACACATCTTAGTGGTGAACATGCCTGGTCTTGAATTAGCAGGAAAAAATTAGGTGCAGGGATCCAAGAGACAGAATTTCTTACACTTAACATACTTTTCAGAGAGAACTGAAAAGCAAAATCAGGTTTTCCACATAATTTATAATCTTGTTTAATTAGAGGTAGGTCTAACATATAACATTTATGACAACAACCACCACTCATTTTTTGCTTCCTTGCAGTTTGGGGCCAAGTGGGTCCACGGATCAGTGGGAATGTTGCCTCGTAACACCGCCTGTGTCCTCTTTCCCCAGTCTTGTTTATTCTTCGTTTCTGATTGTCATAGCCGTAGCTGTCTGCTGAGCTGCTTTTAAGTCCCAAAGCACTTAGCAGTAAATCACTGAACACGGGTTTCATCACAGTTGAAAATGAAGCCTAAGTGTCCACCATGAACACCGAACTTTTAAGTGCAACATCTTTTGCAGAGTTCGTAACACTAATGTAAGTTTGTGACCCCTTGCTCCCTGTAAATAAAACCTATACAGTTTCACCAAACATTTTTTTTTTCTTTAAATGGCAGTTTCCTGTCCAAAGGAAAACTTTAAACCACATCAGAGATGAAAGACCCTCCCTGGGAATGGTTAGAGTGGAGCCAGCAAGCAGTTGTTTATGGTATCGTTAGTGCACTTTTCAAAAAGTTTATTTTTATTCTTCTCTGAGACAATCTTTTCACTTCTTGCTTCATAACCCATAACGCAATTCCTTCTGCAGAACACAACTGGCTCATTCAAAAGTAAGAGGAGGCTCACTCACTGATTTTAATGGTGAAGAGAATAAGGAGACAAATATATGGTAAATATAAATGTTTTTAGATGTTTACTACAACCATCTTGCATCACCATTTTTGTTATTAATATTGTTGTTTTCTGGTGGTGAGGCTGGTCTCTGAAAGGCCCTGGACATAAAAAAACTCACCTTGCTGAGTTTAATTCTTTTTTTTCCGGCTTTTGATTCGCTAAAAATAATGCCTTATAGTGACTCAGTCCAAATTGGGAATCAATTCACTCACTCTAAGAGCTCTGATTCTGAGGTCCTGCGCAGACGGTAAGAGTGCAGTAATGAGTAGACAAAGAAATAAAAACCCACCATGCCTCATTGCTTGTCTCCATCTCCTCTCCTTTAGATCTCAAGATAACACACACACAAAAACATTTTCAAATTAAACCCAGCAATTTTAAAGAAAAACCAAGACACTCATAATCTGAATATGTCAAATAGGACAAAATTCATAAACCCCACATTTTACAGCATTGTAACTTCTGCTTATTTCTAATACAACTGGCTTCTGACACAGAGATTTTCTTAAACCTCTAATAACTATCTGTTAAAAAAGACAAAGATGCCACAAAAGGTCTTTACACAGCTAGTACCGGGTAATAATTCTTCATAATCCTTTATTTTCACAAATGTCTGAGGCTGAATGGACATTGATTTGCTGCCCGTTAACCTGGTTTTCTTCTAATCTATTGTGATTTCCTTCCTTTGCCGGTGAGGAGTATTTATAGAAGTGGTGCTGCGGGAGCTATGAAATGGGGTTGAAAAGCCAGAAAATAATATCAGATCTTAAAAGATCTTTTTTTTTTTAAAAAATACATTCTGTATCTGAAAGGCCCTTGAATGGGTAACATTTGAGGCTATTCTTCTTATTGAGATTTTTCAGGTGCTGATAAAACATTTTAGGGGTGATAGATGAGGCACAGGGCAAACACATCCATTGAGATAAGACTATTTAAAGCTCTAAAAACTAATAGCTGGAGAGTCGTTTCAGTAATAGACCTGATATTTCCTGCCTCCAGTAGGATAATTTTAGAAAGAGACAGGCAATGTTACAGGTAATCAGGAAATCGTATCAGGATATCTCCCCATATTCCTCACTGTCATGCTGAAATGTATAATTCAGTTTCCCCACACTTTCAGACAGCAAG